TCAAAATCAACCGAGCTTTTACATAAAACTTAGTAAACAATTATATAATTACCGACCCAGGTGTGTACAACTGATTTGGTACGACAATGATCTCAAAATCACCAACCTTTTCATAAAACTTAGTAAACAATTATATATTCCGCCCAGGTGTGTACAACTGATTTGGTAGACAATGATCTCAAAATCACCAACCTTTTTCATAAAACTTAGTAAACAATTATATATTCCGCCCAGGTGTGTACAACTGATTTGGTAGACAATGATCTCAAAATCACCAACCTTTTTCATAAAACTTAGTAAACAATTATATATTCCGTCCAGGTGTGTACAACTGATTTGGTAGACAATGATCTCAAAATCACCAACCTTTTTCATAAAACTTAGTAAACAATTATATATTCCGTCCAGATGTGTACAACTGATTTGGTAGACAATGATCTCAAAATTACTGAGCTTTTTCTTAAGAGGAAGTTAATGTGAACACTAATATTTTGCTTAGAAGAAATTAAAAATTATTTACTATGGCTTCGAGTTCAAACTTTATCTCGGATACCCTGCTTTAAGCAAGAAATATTACTAATAATTTCTATATATATCCATTCTAAGGCTAAATACAACTCAATCAAAGAATAAGAGCTCCTCAACAAACTATTATTGTAGCATTTTGAAATATTCTATCACTTGCCAAAACTAAGTTTTAAAATCAGATGAAAGCTAACCAAGAGTTACATTTGAATTTCTGGTTACTATGTGATTTTTGCGTAGTCAAAACAAGTATGCCAACTTTTTAAAATGCGAAGTTTCTTCAACATTTTACTAAAATGACACGGGATAACTTTTGCATGAGCCCGAGAGTGGCCTAGTGGTTAGCGTATCGGGCTTGGAATCCGAAGGTCTCGAGTTCACACTTTCAGCTGAAGGTACCATATAACACTGACATTCAATCCCATTATTCGGTTACGAGTAATCACTTCAGATACTGCTAACTGGTTGCCCTTCTGCTGGTCCGCTGTTCAAGTTTAAGGAGGGCTATACCTAAACCAAAGGTGTTCATAAAGTGTGTACACCTGGCTTTTGTGAACAGTCAGATAAAGTTAATAGTTAATGATAAGTTTATGAAATAACCAAAAAACTCGATAATCCAGGCACTTCCTTCTTCAGATTTGAAGTAAATTATCAAAAAGGGAAGATATAGCTTCGGAAAGCTAAAGAAATAATGTCTATCCTCCGAAAGTGCCCTAATTCTCTGGTTTTTAATCCTAAGAAAGGAAAGCCTATTCTCTTAAAGTGCCCGGGTTCTCTGGTTTTTAATCCTAAGAAAATGAAAGCCTATTCTCTTAAAGTGCCCGGGTTCTCTGGTTTTTAATCCTAAGAAAATGAAAGCCTATTCTCCTAAAATGCCGGGTTCTCAGGTTTTTAATCCTAAGCAAAGAAAAGCTTATTCTCCTAAAATGCCCGGGTTCTCAGGTTTTTAATCCTAAGAAAAAGAAAGCCTATTCTCCTAAAGTGCCCGGGTTCTCTGGTTTTTAATCCTAAGA